TCAAATAGATACAGAATGACTAGATCAGTGAGGCAAGGTGACCCATTAGCTGCCCTCATCTTTCTCTTTATCATGGAAGCCATAGCTTCATTCCTTAGGAAAGACCCTTCAATCGACCGTCTAATAGCAGAACCGGACCAGCAGGGGCGTATAATAGAATTACCCACCACGATACTATTCGCGGATGATCTCACAGTACTCATCAGGGCCACGGATTCCTCTTTTCAAGCACTCACAAAAGCGATGGAAGCATTCCAGTCGGCATCGAAAATGAGAATTAACTGGCCCAAAACGATAGGATTGTGGCTTATATATGACCAGCAGCAACAGCAGCCCCAACCCCCTGACCATGGGGGAACGGAGTGGCTACCCCCACACCAACCGTTGAGGTATCTGGGGATTAGGCTAGCGGACGAGGGCCCCCATCACTCCATGGCCCCTGATCAAATGACCAAAATGCTAGCAAAGTTGGACGCATGGTCTACCATTTATACCTCCCTGTACGGGAGAGCCTTGGTCCTCAATGCCTCCATCTTCTCCATGCTATGGTATGCGGGCACCCTCTGGTCACCCCCAGGATCAACGCTTCGAAGGCTCCGAAGGGTTGCGGCAGCATAGCTGTGGACAGGGAACCCGACCAAGGATAACTTCATTTCCAAGGTTGCCTGGAAACAAGTAACACAAACAAAGAATTGGGGGGGACAGGGCATCCTGGATCCCGAACAGCAGATTAAGGCACTCCAATCAAAACGGATTATCAAGCTGGTAACGATACCCCACTTGCGTTGGGTTCCCCTAGTATTGGAGCACATACGAGGATTTTCGAAGTTCTCAACTCCTCCAAATATGGAGGGCACCTTCTGGATATTCTGCAAAGGGTGGGCAAAAAGGGGTAGGACAAGGGAGCGGGGGGGTGAGGAGGGAACTTCCTTCTCATCATACTGGGCACAAATTCTTAGGATATGGGAAGAGATATTACCGGCTAGAGTACGGAAACCTAGGAGTTAAATCCAGATAAGGCTAAGGAAATAATTAACAAGTTTAGGACAAAGGTTCTAGCAGGAGGCAAGGTGGCTTCTTTGGAAGGGAAAGCCTTGCGCTTCCATTGGTTTAAGGACGATCTCCAGGACCCGCCATATGAGGAAGAGAATGGGGACCAGGAGCTTGGACTACCATAAACTGCGGGAAGGAGGAGCGATCTGCAGAAGAAATCGCAAAGGGAGGGAACCTCAGACCCACTTAAAATAAGACTAACTTCGCAAGGACAGGACTGAGATAAAAACGGGGCTGGGGCAAAAGAGAGGGAGCAGCAGGGAARAGACGAACAGCCAAGGATGTCAAGTAYTGAAGAGGGAGAATAAGGGACAAGGGACACCAATTAAAGTGTCAGGGGAGGAAGCAGGGTTTAGGGTTTAGGGTTTTATAACACTTAAAAGGCAGAGAAAGAGGTTTTGGGGAACAGGGGGGAACACAGCTTTTGTGAAGAATTGGTAAAAAGAGGAGGGTAGATCACATGGCAGCAATGGAGGATCTCTTCCTAGGTTTAACAGGGATTTCTGGCAGAGCTGTTAGGGCAGATCTGAGAGGGAAGAGAGACTCAAGGCAAGCTGACAGTCAATCCCCCACCAAGCGCCGAGTAATCAATGCTGTTCAGGGGTCCTCCGGCCGAACGGGAGGAAGCGTGTGTTTTTATTCTGTAATGTATTATGCTGTGACTTGCCGGTGGAATAGGAACCGGACTGACGCTCCCCAGAATCGAAGGAGCTAGGTCCATAAGGACCTATTAACAAAAAAAAAAAAAAAA